TGGGGGTGAGTGGGAGGGATGGAGAAATGGGGAGTCATTGCTTAGGGAGTATTGAGTTTCTACTAGTGGTGGTAGAATAATTTGTAAAAGGCTGGTTGATGATGCTTGTACAACATGACAAACAATCACTGAATTGTACATGCAAAAATCGTTGAATTGGCAAATGTTTAGTTATATATATTTTTACCCCCATAAAAAATTTTTTATTATTTAAAGAAAGAGAGAGGGGAGATGTGGAGGAAGGAGCAGGGACAGTCATTCAGACACAAAGACACAGCTACGGCCTCCCAGCTCTCAGAGGAGAGTTCAGGTCATCCCCTCTTTGTCCCTCTCCAGACCTCTACAGTCTGAAACTCCAATTCCAGAGATGACCCTCTTTGTCCTGGCCCTGCTAGTAAGAACTTTGAGCCCTTGGGGTCACCTTGCCCAGCTGGGAAGTTCCTACTGATCCTTTCCCCAGAAACTGTTGTCCCTCAGCCCAAATTATCCTAAACTCCTGCTTCCTCCCAGCCCACCCTACTTCTCTCCAGAGTCAGACTGTTCCTGCACTAAGGCCTCATGAACCCCTAGACATTCCATTTTTAGATGGGAAATTTAAAATCCTGAAGCGATGATGAAGGCAGCAGCTGCCTGCATCTGGCTTGTGCTTGTAAGGTTACAAGAGAGGATGGATCCACCTGGATTAACCATAGGAAATAACCATGCAACTGCTTATGTTATATGAGCCACATGGAAGTTCCCACCCCCTGCTATTAAGGAATCATAAGAAACAGAGCGGATATTGGGGCTTTGATTGGCTGGATTCCCAAGGCTCCTGGAAGGAGATGAAACTATCCCTTTTGCCACAAGGTCTGCAAAGTTTTTTACCGACTACATAGGCTTTTACATAACATTTGAGTATCTGTTATTGACATTGTTGTGAGCTGACTAAATCAATTCGGTCTATCACAGTTAGCTTCATGTAGTAGAAATTGGTGGCCTTCTAGAGATAGACCAGAACAGGTCAGTAGTTTGAATCCACCAGCCCCTCCTTGCAAACCCTATGGGGCAGTTCTACTCTGTCCTGTAGGGTCACTGTGAATCGGAATCTACTTGATGGCAATGAGCTCGGGCTTGGTATTGGCACAAGGATAGACAGAAACCATTGGAACAAAGTAGAGAATTCAGAAACAGACCCGTGTGTATTTGGATACTTCGATATTGACAAAAGCAGCCTCGCAGATCTTTTAGGAGTTGTTGGATTTGTTATGAGATGGGTGTCTTAGCTTCCTAGGGCTGCCATAACAGAGTACAGGCAGTCCCCAGATTACAAATGAGCTCCGTTCCTAAATCTGTCTTTAAGTAGAATTTGTATGTAAGTCGGAACAGTTAGATATGGTTGTATCTAACCTCAGTCAAATGTTTGTCTTAGTATATAGTATATAATGTACCTTTCTATGCATAAAAAACATTAAAG